ATTATCCTGAATGAAGGAAGCCAGGGACAAAGGAGTATATGTTATGTGATTCCCTTCATATAAAAAAAAAATTATACAGGCAAAACTAATCTGTGGTGAGAGAAATGAGACCAGTGATTGCTTTGGCAGGAGTAGGTGGAAAGGGTGGATCTCTTGGGAAGGAGCCTAAGGTAACTTTCTGGGCTGACGGAAATAAATGTTCTGCATCTTGATAAAGATGCAGGTTACATGGATGTACACATGTGTAAAACTGATCAAACTATACATTTAAATTCTACGAGTTTCACTATATAAATTATAACTCAGTTTTTTTTAAAGTTACATTTTAAAAAGAAATTAAATAAACTTTTCATAGTTTATAAAGTTTTTTGTAAATCCAATAATCTATAATGCTAGAGGGCTTATAATCAAAATCAGACATTTTTATACTTGATATTTTAATCAAAAGAAAAACTGTGAACAAGTGATATTGATAAGGGCTACAGTTTGGGTCTTTGATATATGTTCAATAAATACATGTATATGTGTGTGTGTGTATATGTATATACACATATGTATATATTTTATACGGAGTTTCGCTCTTGTCGCCCAGGCTGGAGTGCAATGGCTCAATCTTGGCTCTCTGCAAACTCTGCCTCCCAGGTTCAAGTGATTCTCCTGCCTCAGTCTGCCAAGTAGCTAGGATTGCAGGCACCCGCCACCACACCCAGCTAATTCTTGTATTTTCAGTAGAGACAAGGTTTCACCACATTGGCCAGGCTGGTCTCGAACTTCCGACCTCAGGTGATCCACCCCCTTTGGCCTCCCAAAGAGCTGGGATTACAGGCGTGAGTCACTGCACCTGGCCTTATATTGTATTTTCAGTAGTTTTTTCTTTTTCTGCTACTAGGATTTGAATGAAGTCAATGACAGATTATTTCCCAATATGGAAAGGAGTGAGCACTTGAGAGAAACTCACAGACGCTCTTAGAAAATCTGGTATATGAAATTTAGTACATTGATAGATGGGTACCACAACATCAGATAGGATTTAAAATATTCAAGTACATTAAAAGGTTTAAAAATGACTTTCGTAAAATACACAGGTAAACCTCACCCACAGTCAAACAAAACTGCAACACGTGCACCGCTCCTTCTTGTTTCAGAAAGTTCATAAAACGAAATAAAAGATCTTGTTGCTCTCTGATTTGCTTCAATTCTAACTTCAACACCTTAATATAAGAGAAATAATAAGTTTAAGCTATATAAATGAGTTCTAAAATTGTTTATATCAAAAAAATGTTACTGCTGAAAATGCTTACAGACGGCTTTTTATTTCTAGGTTCTGCAAATTTCTGCAAGAATGGAACCAAAGGAGAAGCCGGTTCAGTTGCTTTTTCAGGCTTTGAAAGAAAGAAAATTATTAACTCAGTAAAATTCCCACCTGATTTGACATACACAATCAAAATTCAATGCAATCTGAAGTGTTTTCTAATATATTCAATACTCACTGGACTGTCATCTATGAAGATGATAAGCAAATGATTCACAGTATCCTAGTGGAAAATAATAAATGTAAATCAAAATAATTCCATTACTGCGTTCTTCCCAAAATTCTCCTAACTTGTATCATATTATGAAAGTTTCTGGAAAAATGAAGAAACAAATGGAGCAGTGGCAAAAAATCTGCACATATGTATTACAGCAGGATTTTTTTTTTACATCTACAAAAGAGGTTCTTAACGTTTGTGAAAATCAGCAAATAAAAGCTATTCTGATTTTGGCATTTAAAATATTTCTAAATCATTCTTGTTTCTTCAGAATCTTATTGGATCAAAGGTAAAAGCATCTGAAGTATCCATCAATGGATGAACATCCAAAGTGTCTATCAACGGATGAAAATAAAACATGTTATACACATACAACAGAATACTACTCAGCCTTGAAAAGGAAGGAAATTCTGACACATGCTACAACATGGATGAATCTTGAAGACATTATGCTAAGTGAAATAAGCCAGTCATTAAAAGACTAATATTGTATGATTCCATTTATATGTGGTACCCAGAGTAGGCAAATTCATGGAGACAGAAAGCAGAATGGTGGTTACCAGGAGGGCAGGAGGGAGGAAGGAATGAGGAGTTATTGCTAACAGGTGTAGAGTTTCAGTTTCATAAGAAAAAGAGTTCTGGAGACGGAGAGTGGGGATGGTTGCACAACAATATGAATGTTTCAGTATCATTGACTACACGCTTAAAAATCTTTAAGATGGTAAATTTTATATTAAGTATATTTTGTAACAATTAAAAAAATGTTTAAGTCTTACTGGATCAGCTAGGAAATCCAAAGAAGGAAGGAACACAGAGCCAGACAGGATCTCTCTTATAAGTAAGGTCAGAGATCTGAAAAAATAAATAATAATAATTGTTTACATTTAGTAATTTATAAAGTTCTTAACTTTCAACTGCATATGAATTACCTAAGATTCTGCATTTCTAACAAACTGTCAACCAACATTCATGCCACTGGTCTGCAAACCACATGTTGAATAGCAGAGAGTTAGATTTCTTACTTGGCTAAAAGAGAATATTATTTAAGAGAAAAAAAGTATTCCCTTAACAGGAGGAACTTGGGGGACATTAGAAAATACTTTCTGTCAGCCAGGCACAGTGGCTCACACCTTGGGAGGCTGTGAGCCAACAATTTGGGAGGCTGAGGTGGGCGGATCACGAGGTCAGGAGTTCTAGACCAGCCTGGCCAACATGGTAAAACCCCATCTCTACTAAAAACACAAAAATTAGCTGGGTGTGGTGGCACACACCTGTAATCCCAGCTACTGGGGAGTCTGAGGCAGGAGAATTGGTTGAACCTGGGAGGCAGAGGTTGCAGTGAGCCAAGATCACATCACTGCACTCCAGCCTGGGCCACAGAGCAAGATTCTATCTCAAAAAACTTTTAAAAATTTTTAAAAATCAAGAAAATACTTTCCAAGAATACTTAAATGTTTAATATATATTTAAATTAATGCTTAAGATAATTATAGTAATTACCTTATAATCCTATTTGTTATTATTATAAACTAGTGTAGCATAAAAATCATGTACTTTAATATATTAAAATATTTTTAAGAAAATGAAAATGTGAAAACAAAAAGTAATATTTAAAGCACATCATGCCGGGCGCGGTGGCTCACGCCTGTAATCCCAGCACTTTGGGAGGCCGAAGCGGGTGGATCACAAGGTCATGAGATCGAGACCATCCTGGTCAACATGGTGAAACCCCGTCTCTACTAAAAATACAAAACATTAGCTGGGCATGGTGGCAC